AGTTGTGAGTGGTTCTTAAGTACGGGCAGATGAAAATTTTTGGTAGAAAAATTGCTAACTCGGGAACTACAAAAGCTGGCTGGAATTTTAACGGAATGTTCCTTATCCAAGTACAACTTAAAGATTTCAAATTTCGCCCGCAAGTATGCACGGTTCTTACGTACAGGCACTTAAAAGTTCTGGCGGAAAAACTATTCATTGAACAGTTAGGTCATTTTCAAAGAATGACAGTTAAACGGAAATTGTTCATTTTCCTTTATATGAAGTTTATGATGACTGCGCTAGCAATCGCACAAAACAAGCGTAAAGCAGCAACCATACATACAATTAATGACTTGACTGGTTCAAGTTTAGTGCAAAAACGCACGACCGCACGGGCAAGCCTGGTGCATTCCAGCCTAGGTTTTATATGTTTTTAAAACAGGTTTTTGTTCTCCTACTTTCCAAGACAATTATTTTTCAAAAGTTTCCCTGCAACACAATTTTCCTGATAATGGCAATATGTCCTTTTCGCAGTTCACTTGTCTCGCCATCTTTTTCTAATTGATTAGAAAACTGGGAAAGAAGTTGTGACATACGATGGGGCTATTCTTATATGACGGCAGGAATGGGTAAGTTATACCACTGAAGAAATTTGAAATCGAGCGCGTGGAAATTGCTTCATAAAAGCCCGCCTCCAGTATTGGGCTTCTCCATTTGTTTAGGTAAAGCTGAGAGCTCTCATCTTTACCTACGCAACCTTACCTTATTTGCTCTCAGTTTTACCTAAGCATCAGCTTCATAAATGGGAAATTCCTTTAATGATGAAGGGTTTTTATTTAAAGCTTGTCTGCAATAATTAGCTGACCTCGCCTAATATTATTAGGACCGCACAGACTCAACGAACCAAAGCATTTCTCTTCAGATATTTATTTTCCTTTCTACTACGTTCGTTTTAACTACCTGATCTTTAACGCTGATTCCTATCTCCCAAGCTTAGCCACATAAAAATACCATATATCTACGTTTATGTGTGTATAGCTGCTTTGCTGCATTACTAAATACTGGACAGGCCGACGTTGTTTCGTACCACTCAAACTTAGCCGAACGAACGCACTTCTCTCACAGATTTTTTTTTTTTAATATTATTTACACAGTTTTTTTTACAGATTTTTTTTAATATAATTAAAAAACGATTAAAAAAAAGAGTAAAAAGTTGTAAAAAAACAAAAAAAAAAAACGTTTTTTCTGCAAAATTTTTTTATAAAGTTTCCCAAATTACTTTTGAACGTAAGAGAACAGGAACTTTTTGTGCAGGAAAGTAAGAATTACAATTAGAAAGAACTGATATTCCTGTAACAAAATGCCAAAAGCTCTGCTCCCCGAATGGAGGAACAGGCGTAGAGGTACAGCCAAGATTTTTTTTTTGAAGAACAAAGAAAGGAGGTGAGTAGAGGAAAAGAAGGTTTTTTTGGGAAACGGAGGGAAGTGAGGGTTTTTTTTTGAAAAATTTAAGGGGAGAACGCAGTCTTTTGAGAAAATTTCACAATTTTCAAAAGTTTTTCCTACTTTTCAACAGTTCAAATTTAAAAGCATGATGTTTCCTTCATGTTTATTTCGTGGTATCGAAAAATACCAAAAATACTAAAATTTTACAATAGATGAATAAAACTGATGATTTTTTGAAGAAAAAACAAAATCCCCGGTTTCGAAGAGGGGAGGGGTAGGAATACAAAAAAGGCGGGGGAGGGGGGAGGTGGGATCAAATGCCGAATAGAAGTATGCCCCCTCCCAACCAATTTCCAAGGATTTGTGATATCCACTGAGGACTTGGCAGCGGGATCCGCGGTGTCCGGGGTTTCGCTACCCGACCCTGAATGGTATCACCGATCCACCTTAACAACGCAGACTTCGTAATTCCAACAATTCAGGCATCGTTACCTATCAAATTTTGCAAAACTTTCAGGATAGTTCTAAAAACCCTGTGGATGGTACCACAAAAATCCCCCAGAACTTACCCCTACCCCACTATCCAGGAAAAAATCCCCAAGGCTTACCCCAAATTGTCGCCCAAGGGCTATTCGGGCTAAGTTTACAGGGTAACTCTACTCTAGATGGCGCCAAAGAAATCCTAGCCCCATCTCTCCATCCTGGAAAAAAAAACCCCACAAAAGCCCCGCGCCCCGTCTAGGTGCCTGGGATTACACCGTAATACGATAAAGTATATGAGCGTGTGTGTCGTGGTCGAGTGACAAACGACGAATGTTTGTGTCTGTGTGTATGTCTGTGCGCCGCACACACGCCACATACACTACCCGACACACTCACATCACTCGACGTATTTCCAATTCTCACATACACTCACCGACATCCACATTCTTTTCAGCACACTATTTCCCGCAACGATGCATGTCTGTGCATGTGTCTGTGTGTATGAGGCATAGCAGACATACATAGGTATGGGTGTCCGAATAATGACGCTTACACACCCACCTTCATAGGGGACATACATAGATGCAAACATTACATACACACAGACACTGGCGCAAATACACATACAGACATGCATACGTACATACATACAGACGAACGCACACACATATAGATACGTACATGTAGACATACATACACACAAAGCAGACATACACAGGTCCGAATACATATTCACATATACGTATGCAGACATTGCTCACTCGTACATACACAGACAAACATACACATACGCTTACACACATCCGGACATACATACATCCAGACATTCACACATACATACGTCCAGACATGCACACATACACTCGCACAAACACCCAGACATGCATACACACATCCAGGCGTGCATCGGCCAGTTGACATACATACATACAGACCCACATATGAATATTTACTCATTGAACACTCTGAGTATACATGCGCACTCATCAATGATTGGCATGTTTGTGTGTGTGTCTGTCTGTCTGTCTGTCTTTGTATCGGCGTAGGCATAGATTTATATACGGAGACATCCATAAACATACATACATGCATACAAGCATGGAAACATACGTGGACATACAAACATACAATAATGCGAGATGTGTGTGAACGGGTGACAGACACACATATGAATGTTTGCACACGCAAGACATACACGAACGACAGTGTTGACAGACAGACAGACACTGACATACACAATGTCATTTAGCAAACAAATTTGCGGTCGTTGCGTGCTAAGCATTTAGTAGATGTTTACTCGGGAGGGGGCGTCCTGGGAAAGATGCAGGATGGTATCCGAGTAGTTGAAGGAGGGGTACCAAGCGTTGGAAGGGGGAAGTGGGAGGGGTGGGCAAGGAGGAAAGGGGATGCCCGGGGAACTGTGGGGAAGGAGAGGGGGCGGGTACTGGAGTAAGGG